TGGGATGGGATCCATGGAATTGAAGGAATCTGGGATAGTGGATGTTTCCAGAGGGAAATCATTGGGAAGGACTCAATGATAGGAGAAGGGATGGGATGGGATGGGATGGGATGGGATGGGATGGGATGGGATCCATGGGATGTGGATGGGATGGAATTCCAGGAGCTTTTCCAGCAGGAATCCAGGAATGATGGAAAAACGCTGGAAAAATAACCAGGAATGCCCCGTTCTGCTTTTTTGCCTGGGAATCAACCCTGGGCTGCACAACCCTGGGAGCCACAATTGGATCATCCTGGATTTTTCCTCTTCTCCAACTGACCAATCCCAATTTTCCCAGTTTTTCCTCTGCTCCCATCCCAACCAATCCCAAACTTCCATTCCCTGACAATGAATCCATGACTTGAGCAGATCCCTTGGGATACAATTCCCACAATTCCCATTGCCCAAAGGGAGCATTCTGGTGATTCTGTCAGGAATTCTGTCAGGAATTCCAGATACTGATCTCCAACTGACCAATCCCAATTTTCCCAGTTTTTCCTCTGCTCCCATCCCAACCAATCCCAAACTCTCCGCTCCCCACCCCTCCCTCATCCCAAACTCTCCATTCCTGCAGAAAATCCCAACTAATCCATGATTGGAATTGACCCCTTGGGATACAATTCCCACAATTCCCAGGAGAATTCCGGGATACCGACCTTGCCTGGAGTCGTACTGGCGCATCTGCACCTCCTCCACGCATTCCGCCGGGAACCAGCCGCTCCTGCCCTTCACGGAGCCTTCCCAAAATCCGCCCTCGCCGATGCTCAGCACTGCGGGAAACGGGGACACGGAATCAGCCGGGAATCCCGGGAAAAGCACAGCGGGAATCCCGGGAAAAGCGGAGCTGGGGTGGTGGAGGCACAGCGGGAATCCGGGAAGCAAAGCCAGAGGGAAGCTGAGGAATGTGGGGTTTTCTGTGGGAAGCTGGGATTCCCAGATTTTGCCACTCTGGATGCTTGAATTCCCAAACTGTGGCACGCCGGATGCCAAAATTCTGATAATTTTCCCACTCTGGATGCACACATTTCCAAATTCCTGATTTTTCTCATTCTGGATGTCCCATTCCCAAATTCTCCCACTCTGGATACCCAATTCCTGAAATTTCCCACTCTAGATGCCTGAATTCCTAAATTCTCCCTCTCTGAATGCCCAAATCCTAAATTATCCCTCTCTGAATCCCCAAATTCCTGAATTTCCCCACTCTGGATGCCAAAATTCCCAAATTCTTCCGCTCTGAAGCCCGAATTTCCAAATTTTCCCACTCTGGATCCCCAAATCCCAGCAGCACCTTCCTGGTGTTCCCCAGGTGTGAATTCTCTCTGAAGTGTCCAGATCCCAGAATTCCAGAGGTTGGGAAATCCCTCCTGGATCACCAATCCAAGCTGTGCCCGATCCCAGCCCTGAGTGGAATTCCAGGAATTCCTTGGATTCCTCCTGGGATGGAGACTCCAAACCTCCCTGGGCAGCCCCAGCCAAGTCCTGAGCGCCCTTTCCATGGAAAAATTCCCAAAAATCCCAGCGGAGCCTCCCCTGGGCCAGCCTGAGGCGTTCCCTCTTTTCCCGGGGCTCATTCCCGGGACCAGATCCCGATCCAAAGGCTGAGGTTGGGTGGATCCCAAACCTTCGCTGATTTTATGGAATCCTGGAATGATTTGAGTGGGAAGTGACCTCAAATCCCATCTCATTCCAAAGGCAGGGAAATCTCTCTTTATCCCAGGGTGCTCCGAGCCATGGCCATTTCCAGGGATCCACGAGCACGATCAAGGCTGGAAAAACTGGGAATGTTTCCCTGGAGAAGGGAAGGATCCAGGGAGAGCTTCCAGCACATTCCTAATTATTGTCAAATTTATTCAGGTATCCGGAAATCCAGCCCTGCTCCATCCATCCCACAGAATTCCCAGAAGGATCCAGGAATTCAAATCCTGCCTGGAGGCATCCAAGGAAAAACAAATCCAAGGAAAAGCCAAACAGCAGAATCCTTTCAGGCTCCTCCAGGGGGTTTTTTTGGGATGCAAATTCTCTGGCTCTCCAAAGGTTCTGGTGTTGTCAGGTCTTGGAATGATCCCAAATCCCGGATTTTACTCAATTCCCACTGCTCTGCTCCCAACAGCTCCCCCTGGAAAATTCCCGCTTTGGAGCTCTTTGGAATTCCATCCTGCCTCACTCCAAACCTCCATGGGACCCCTCTTTCCATGGGAAAATATTCCCAAAATCCAACCGACATCTCCCCTGGCTCGAGGCCATTCCCTCTTTTCCCATCCTTCATTCCCCGGGTTCTCCTTCCCTCCCACGGCCATTCCCAATTTTTCCTCCTCTCTTCCAATGCTTCCCATCCTCATCCCACAGGGTCTGGAGCAGCCCAGAATTCCAGCAGGGATTTCCACAGGGAATCCGTGTCCTGTGTATGGAATGAAGATGGGGAATGGATCCAATGGACCTGGGAGTCAGCCCTGGGAATGGCTTCGATGGATCCAGGAATCTGCACTGGGAATGGCTTCGATGGATCCAGGAATCTGCACTGGGAATGGCTTTGATGGATCCAGGAATCTGAACTGGGAATGGCTCTGGATGGATCCGGGAATCAGCACCAGGAATGGATCCAGATGGATCTGGGAATCAGTGCTGGGAATGGATGTGGATGGATTTGATGGATCTGGGAATCAGCACCAGGAGCTGTTCCCACTCCAGATGGATCCAGAAATCAGCACTGGGAGCTGGAATGGCTCCAGGAATCAGCCCTGGGAATGGATCCATGATTCCCAATTTCCAATGGGAATCATCCCTGGGAATGGCTCTGGAAGGATCCAGGGATCAGCCCTGGGAATGGCTCTGGAAGAAGCCAGGGATCAGCCCTGGGAGCTGTTCCCACTCCGGGTGGATCCGGGAATCATCCCCGGGGCCGCCCCCTGCAGCTGCGGAGCTGATTTGGGGAAGGATCCGGCTTTGATTCCCGTCATTATCCCGTCGTTCCGGCTCTAATCAAGCATTCTTCGGAAAAAATAGCGGCAATCAAAGGGAGCGGGAAAGGGAGGGAACGAACGGAGCCGGGAAAATGTTCCCGAGGAATTTTCAGCCTCAGCAGAATTTTGGGACTGGGGGCAGGGAGGAGCTTGGGAATGGGATTTGCTGATCCAAAAGTTACGGATCGTTCCCATGATCCAGGATTTCCTGTCCCTTCCTCATTCCCCGTTTTCCTTCCTTATTTCCCTTCTCTATTTTCCTTCGCTATTCCCAAGGACTTGCATCCCACCTGGAATGAGATTCCCACAGTGGGAATGGATTTTCCAAGGGCTGGAATTCCAGGATTTCCCAGCGCCATCCAGAATTCTCAGTCCAACCCTCCCAAAGCCAATCCTGCCTGGAAAACTGGAAATCTCCCCTTTCCCAGTGGAAGCCATTCCCTGTGTCCTGTCCCTCCATGCCTTTCCCTAATTCCAGCTCTCCTGGAGCCCTGGAATGTTCTGGAAGCTCTCCCTGGATCCTTCCCTTCTCCAGGAGAACATTCCCATTTTTCCCAGCCCTGGGAGCAGCTCCTTTTCCCACCCTTTATTCCCTGCATTCCCTTGGATATTTCCCAGGCTTTTTTTTTTTTTTTTTTTTTTTTCCCCCAGGAGCGCTCCTGGCTCAGCATTCCCGAGCTCTGGAAAGGAGGGAAGAGCAGCCGGAGCCGTCTCACACCCGGTGCCCACGGAAAACATGGATGGGAAAGGAGTCAGGGATCCAAGGAAACCCGGCCCGGCTGCCAGGCTGCTCCAAGCTTTTCCTGGGAAGAGGAGGAGTTCAGGGAATCCCTCTGGAATCCCTTTGGAATCCGGAAAATCTGGGATGTGTTTGAGGGATTAATGGAAATTCCTCGGCTAATCCAGCCTGGGAAATGTCTCCGATATTATTCCAGCCTGAAGGGATTTTCCTAATTCCCTCTCTCATTCCAGGAAAAAATTTGGGATCAGCCCTGTAAGCAGGGATTGAGAAATATTTTGGGATCACTCCCTGTTGGAATTCCCAGCTGGAAAACAGCGGGATTTGAGAATTCCCCATCCTGAAAAATCACAGGGACAGGGAGTCCTCAGCACCTTCAGGGAAGGAATTCCTGGAATTCCCGTGCCTGGAGCAGCTCCTGGCAGGATGAGGAGCTCCATGGGGAGCCCTGGGAATGCTGGATCCCAGCCAGAATTCCCAGAAAACCCAGCAGGAGAGTCTTGGGAATGTGGGCAGGGATTGGGATGGGCCCATCCCGTTTGGAATGTGGCACAAAGGGCAGAACCATCCAAAAAAACATGGAAAACCTGGATCCACATGCCTAAAAAACCATGGAAAACCTGGGTCACATTCATCAAAAAACATGGAAAACCTGGAGGTTTTTTCCCATGGAAATTCCAGGATTTCTGAGCAGCCTCTGCACTCGGAGCTTCTGGAGCAGCTCCTGCTTCCCAGCATGACACGGCATATTCCCAGCCCTTGGAAAAATCCAGGATTAAACCCAGAAATCTGGGAATTCCTGACCTTGGAAAAGCCCTCCTGGATTATCAAATCCCACCTTATTCCCAGCTCAACATTCCAGGAATTCCTTGGATTCCTCTGGGGATGGAGACTCCAAACCTGCCTGAGTGCCCTTTCCATGGAAAAATTCCCCAAAATCCCAGCAGAGCCTTCCTTGACCCAGCCTGAGGCCATTCCCTGTTTCCCTATCCCTTATTCCCTCAGGAATTCTGTGACACCTGGAATTCCCAATTCCAGCAGCATTCCCGAGCTTAATCCAAGTGAATTGGAGGGAAAATTCCATTTTCCCTCTCCTTTTCCTCCTGGGAATTCCCAGGTTTCAATCCAGCAGCAAACAGTGGGAAAAGAGCTTTTCCATGGGGGTTTTCCATGGATTTTTCCATGGGGTTTTTCCATGGAAATGGCAGCAGAGGAATGATGGGAACACACGGAAACCTTGGGATGTCCACCAGAATTTTTTGGGATCAGCTCCGCCCCATTCGATGTTTCCCAATCCTCCCCGTCCCTGGATCCAGGACCAGATTTCCAGGATCACCAGGAGAGGATGGATTTTCCTGGCAGTGGAAATTCCAAAGCCACTCTTAGAGCACTGGGAATTGTGTCCCAACATCCCGAATCCCCGAGCAGCAGGAATTCCCATGGAATTCCTCCAAATCCCTAAAAACCCAGGAATTCCCCATTCGGAATTCCTGAGCCACAACTCCCCCAATTCCAAGATTTTCCAGGCATCTCCCAGTTTGGATTTTTCTGGGAATTTCAGGCCAGACAAAGACAGGGAAATTTCAGGAAGTTCAGGAAAACTGGGATGGGAGAGGAAGATCCCTGTGCCCCCAATCCCATCCGGAATAAACAGCAGGAAAGGAGGGAAAACCGGGAAAAGCCAAGCTCCAAAAATCCTGGAAAACTCCCCACACGTGGAGGCCACAGAGAGGAAGAAAATGTGGGAAAAGGGATAAAACTGGGAGGGGGGAAAAACAATTCCAAGGAAAAATTCCATAGTTACCTACTTCACCGAGCTGCTGGTCTGGAGCGTGGATGGGAATGGAAAAGAGAAAAAAAAAAAAACATGGAAAAGAGGAAAAAAAACATGGAAAAAAGAAGAAAAAAACAAGGAAAAGAGAAAAAAAAAACACGGAAAATGTGCAGAGGCGCAAACAGAACCACACGGAAATGAAAGGTGGGAATGAGCTCCAGTGAAATCCCCGGGAATTCTCCCCTGGAATGTTGTCCAGGGACTCCTCAGCCAGGTCATGGACAATCCCTAAAAACC